ATTAACAGAGATTCCAAGGAAATGGCTGAGAAGTGGCTTCTCAGACATAGGTTAACCTGTCCCCAGCCAGTAGCTACTGGGGACAGATGTAAAATAATTACACTTACCTTTACCCAAGTAGAGCATTTCTGTGGCTGCATCAGACAGCTGAGGACAGCTGGAGTGAGGTATTGTCTCTACGTATGGCTCTGCACTTGGGCTATCACAAGGATCTAGGAGCCTCCTATGTCATAGAATCATAGAATCATTGTGGCCGAAGTGCAGGACCCGGCACTTGGCCTTGTTGAATCTCATACAGGTCTCCCAAGGGACTCTCTCAACCAGCGTCCTGAACAGGCCAAAGTCTGCCCTCCGGAAGTCCATGTCCTTTCAATAGATTTGGTTCAGATTTGGTTTTAGAACCATCAATAAAAACAACAACTAGTTTTGCCTACTGAGGACTTTTGCTTTGTTTTGGGTCACCCTTAGTCAGGAAAGCGGACTGTTTTATGTCCCTGCAGTGCAGCAAGACTCATGTGCACAGTGTGGGATGTTGTGGAGCAGTTATTTATGTTCCACAGAAATGTTTGTTGTGGTTTAACCCCAGCCAGCAACTAAGAACCACACAGCTGCTCGCTCACTCCCTCCCGGTGGGATGGGGGAGAGAATCAGAAGAGTAAAAATGAGAAAACTTATGGGTTGAGATAAAGATAATTTAATAAGTAAAGCAAAAGCTGTGCGCATAAGCAAAGCAAAACAAGGGATTCATTCACTACTGCCCATCAGCAGGCAGGTGTTCAGCCATCTCCAGGAAAGCAGGGCTCCATCACATGTAACGGTTACTTGAGAAGACAAACGCCATCACTCAATGTCCCCGCCTTCCTTCTTCTTCCCCCAGCTTTATATGCTGAGCATGACATCACATGGTATGGAATATCCCTTTGGTCCGTTGGGGTCAGCCCTCCCAGCTGTGTCCCCTCCCAACTTCTTGTGCCCCCCCAGCCTACTCACTGGTGGGGTGGGGTGAGAAGCAGCAAAGGCCTTGACTCTGTGTAAGCACTGCTCAGCAATGTCGAAAACATCCCTGTGTTATCAACACTGTTCCCAGCACAAATCCAAAACATAGCCCCATACTAGCTACTATGAAGAAAATTAACTTTACACCAGCCAAACCAGCACAATGTTCATTCTCACAAAAATATTCTCATTCTGTTGTGGGATAATCTCAAGGCTTCTCAGCAGAAGAGAAAGAAAAAAGCAAAAGAAAGATCAGGGAACTTGCAGGAAGGCTTCTTCATGTAGGTGGGATGCAAGACAATAATGTCATTGTCCACTGGTGGCCTGAGTTCCTGTAGGGATTTGAAGCTCCATTTTCCAGAACTTTGATGTGCTGTGTGCTCTCTTGGTTTCAGCTGTTTGGCTCTGTTGGCTACGAATATTTAACTGTTGGTCCAGAGCTAGGCTGATTTGTTGGTTCTGTGGAGAACAGCCTAAGGCACTGACCTGGGATGGATGTGACACCAGGACAAACCCAGATCTTACAAGCAGATTATGCTGGGGACTTTTTTGTGCATCATTTATATATGGGAAAAAGGCATTTAGCAAGATTTTGAAAAGAACAGATGGTTCAGAGCACTCGAAGGGGAAAGAGCTATCTCTGAAATAAAAGAAGGCTCATGCAACTAATTTCTCTTGTGAAGCTATGCAAGAAAATGGACTAGGGTAAGATTTATACTTTCATTTGTGCTCTGATCCTGAAGTTGTTTTGGGCTGCCCATTCAACTGAGAAGGTTATAAAAGGACACTCCAAGTGTAGGGAGAGTGCCTGTCACTGAAATGCAATGGGCTTACACAGAAAACTTCATCTACTAATGGATACTTATTTGTTACCCCACAAATGCATTTTGCTTCCCCCTTTTTCTGTGGAGAATTATTTTATTGTATTTCCGAATGCACAGAAAGAACTAAAGTCCCAAAGCCACGCAGCAGGTCTATGGGAAACCACAGGAAATCAACCTTTCCACTTCCTCTTAGCTTTTTTTTGTTCCATTTCTGATTTGGGTTTACCCCTAATATTTCCAGTCTGAAGCTTTGCAAAAATACTGAGATTTTTGGAGGTCATGGAATTCTTATAGCACCTGGTTTATGCTCAGATAAACAGAAAATGGAGTGGCCAAGGAGAGTACGTATCAAATAGATCACCCTCTAGAGCCCCAAGGGGAGGAGAAAAGATATCCTTCAATAAACACTCCATTCTTGACATACTATGCAGTTCCTGAAATTGCATTGCCTGTCTGTGACAGAGATGAAAGAACGCAAGTCATTAGTGATTGTAACGTTCTAGAGCTTTTTGATTCATGACAAACATTTTAAATGCTCAGCAAATATTTGCCTCATGCACCTTGAGGAATTGGACTTAACCTCAAATAAAAAGGTGAGTGTGCTGACTTTCAAGTGTGAAAAAAATGTTATTTTAACCTAACCGTTATTCAACTTAATTGAGATACGGACACCAGGTTTCATCTGTTTGTGTTTATTGCTTCTGTCATCGACAGGTCATATGCCAGGAGTTATCCTCACAGATAAAATTGATTAGAAAATAAATAAAACATTTGCATAGCAGAATAACTGTGGAACATAATTCAGAAGGAAATATGGAGTATTAATTGTACCGATAAAACCAATTTGTTTGTAGGTGATTTTCAGCTGTTCCTCATTTTATGTAGTAGTCGGCCCCAATAGCTGAAATATTGTTTCATGTTGTATGAACACCTTCACCCTCCTCCTCTTGGCTATTAGCATCTGATGTTTGAACAAAACCTCGGTGATTGCTCTCGCCAGTGATAATTTTATCTGATGCCTTTCATCTACAAGGTTTCCAAAACATCTCTGGGAATTACTAAATGTTACAGTGCCGGTTCACATGATTTTTTATAATACAATAGAAACTATTAGCCATAACTGAAATTATGCATATTGACTATAACTGTCCTAAATAA